TTGCGTCAGGAGACGCCAGGCCAAAATTCATCGGATTTGTTGGTTACCACATGACCGACGCACCACACCTCGCAGGCAGTCCGTAACATCGGCGCCGCCGAACGGGCTGCGTCTGGACGAGCTGCGCGCAGCCTGTCCACGAGAAGGGATACGCATGCGTGTTGAGTGGGGCCATCGCGCGCGGAAAGCGGATGGGGGCGCGCGAAACAGCGCAAAACCCATCGCGGGGCGTTGATGACCGAACCCCCTTCTCCCGCGCAATCTTAACGCGGGCGGGCCCCGGGGTCCGCGGATCCGATTTCGCCAGGCCCCCCGCTTACATTTGAATTTGAAACGGGGTAAAAATCTGATCCGCCGCGGACGCGGATCCAGAAAATCCAGAACGGGATCCGCGCGGGCGGAAGGCGGATCAACCAAAAAACAAAAAAAAAAAAAAAAAAAAAAAAAAAAAAAAAAAAAAAAAAAAAAAAAAAAAAAAAAAAAAAAAAAAAAAAAAAAAAAAAAAAAACGAACGCAATTTGATCCGCTTGATCTTCGCGGGGCCCGACGACGGTCATCTCATACGCACGCGTCTGATCGAGAGCTCAAGCCGTCTGCCGGGGCCCGAACCGAAAAACTCTCGCCCTGGGGACGGGCGCCCCGGCATTCAGACTCGTCTTTGTACCGCGTTGCCAACGCACCACATCTCACAGGCACTCCGCTGGGTCAAGAAACGCAGGGCCGAAACGCAACCGACTTCTTGGTCGCCACTTAGCCGACGCACCACGTATCACAGGCAGTCCGCTGGGTCAGGAGACGCAGGGCCGAAACGCACGGGCGTTTTGGCCTTCGGAACTGTCGGTTGCGACGTAGCCGACGCACCACACATCCCAGGCTGCCCGTTGGGTCAGGAGACGCAGGGCCGAAATTCATCGGACTTGTCCGTTCCAACGTAGCCGACGCACCACATCTTACAGGCAATCCATGGGGTCAAGAGAAAGGGCCGAACCGCGCGGGCGTTTTGGCTTTCGGACTTGTCGGTTGTCACGTAACCGACGCACCGCATCTCCCAGGCTGTCCGTTGGGCTAGGAGTCGCAAGGCCGAAACGCACCGGGCGATTTGGCCGTCGGACTTGTTGGCCACCACATATCCGACGCACCACATCTCACAGGAACTCCGTTGGGTCAGGAGACGCAAGGCCGAAACGCATCGGACTTGTTGGCTGCCACATAGCCGACGCACCACATCTCATAGGCACTCCGTTGGGTCATGAGACGCAATGCCGAAACGTACTAGCATTTTGGCCTTCGTACTTCTTGGTTACAACGTAGCCGACGCACCACATCTCGCAGGCTGGGTCAGGAGACGCCAGGCCAAAATTCATCGGATTTGTTGGTTACCCCTTGACCGACGCACCACACCGCGCAGGCAGCCCGTAACATCGGCGCCGCCGAACGGACGGCGTCTGGACCAGATGCGCGCAGGTCGTCCAGGAGGACAGATACGCATCCAGCATCCATGTTAAACGGGGCCCTCGCCCGAAGAAAGTTGATGGGAGCGCGCGCGAGACAGCGCAAGACACATCCTGGGACGTTGATGACCGAACCCCCTTCCCCCGTAGAATCTTAATACGGGCGGTTCCCGGGGTCCACAGACCCGATTACGTCCGTTTCGCCCCGTCGATGCACATCCCCGCCAGGTTGCGCCGGGGGCGACCACGTCCAGCACCAAGCGCAGCGAGCGTCGTCTTCCAGCAGCGACATCCGCCACCATGGGCACTGCCTGACGCCTTGGAGCCCGCGCAGCAAGCTGATGACGTAGAACAGAGCCGCGTAGACCCAGTCGCCACCTGTGCTGGAAACGCCTTCGCGACCATCTGGGCCGGCGGCGCCACGCTCTGAGTTCCCTTATCGGGGGTCCGTTTCTTGCTGACTGGCCGGCGCTCTCCCAGCGCGACTATCTTCCCGCTCGCGCCACTCCCCGCGGCTATCTTCGCGCTTGCGCTCCTCCGGCGGACAGGCTGGGCGCCGTCGAGCCGCGGCAGCTCGCCGTTGTCATCGTCGCCGTGCAACCGGCGCCTCCCACTCCAGCTGCCACCACTGCCGCCAAACGCGCCTCGAGTCACTCGGGCGCGCATCAGCGGCGTTCCAGCGTCCACCAGCGGCAGCCACCCTCGCCCAAGGGTCGGCTGCCTGCAGCGGGTCCGCAGCGGGCGCCTCTCGCGCCTGCCAGACACCGAGCCTGGCGCCTGCGGCTATGCCAGGAAGAAGGAAACTGGCATAGAATCGGGAGGCGGGCAAGAAAGGGGCCTCCTGGCCGCACGCGGCTTGAGCCAGAGCGGCATGCGCCAAAGGCTTTTTTGGTCAGCGGCTCCGAGGCAACGGTCAGGGAGCGGAGGCGACGGCCGGGGCACGGGCGAGGCTAATTAGCAAGACAATTTGCCGCCAGCCAGAGTTGGCGGACAGACAGCTCGCACCTGCACATGCACTGAACAACAAAATGACCAGAATTCGAGACGCAGACACACGGAGGCGCGAAGACCCTAACCACAGTGGGCAGGCCGCCGTGACCGGTGAAAATGAGAATGCCCCGAAGTGAATCGCCAATGCGGCGCCAGACTTCCGCGGCCGACCTGCACAAGCCGAGCGGCTGAGCGGTCGGGACAAGAAAACAGTGCGCGACAGCTGGGAACGGCCGAAGGCTGTACAGGCGTTGTAGGCTGAACCACTCAGCGCCCAACTGGTGGGGATACGCGAAGCGTCAAGGGCATCATCATCATCATCATCATCATCATCATCATCATCATCATCATCATCATCATCATCATCATCATCATCATCATCATCATCATCATCATCATCATCATCATCATCATCATCATCATCACCATCATCATCATCATCATCATCATCATCGTCATCATCATCATCGTCGTCGTCGTCATCGTCGTCGTCATCATAATCATCATCATCATCATCATCATCATCATCATCATCATCATCATCATCATAATCATCATCATCATCTTCATTATCCTTAGCATCATCATCAGCGATCAGCAGCAGCATCATCAGCGTCATCAGCATCTCCATCATCAGCATCACCATCAGCATCATTAGCATCATCATCAGCATCATCAGCATCGTCACCATCATCATCATCATCATCATCAGCAGCAGCAGCAGCAACAGCAGCAGCATCATCATCATCATCAACATCATCATAGTCGTCAAGAAACCATGAGAAAATTCCAGGAGTCTCATGGGCCGTGCCATGGGACGCGTAATGGGCCGTTGCTCGGTGCACCGTGTCCTCGGTTGATTATGTTTTGTCTGTTTTGCTCTCTCTCTCTCTCTCTCTTTCATGAGACGCGCCGGGTTCGTGTTGCGCCCCGGGACGCGTCTTGGGAGATGACGGGGGACGTGCCAGTGGACGTCCAGAGATGTTTGGAGACGCGCCACGGAACGCGCCAGGGAACGCGCCAGAACAACGGGCCAAGGGGTCGTACCAGGGGATGCGCCAAAGAACGTGGCAGGGGAAAAGCCACAGAACATGTCGGGGGACGTTCCAGAGGACGCATCCCTGCGGGGCTGCGAAATGCGAAACTGCCGCCATGGTCGTGCGCAGCGGAGCGACGTCCTAGGCGCACCCAGACTAGACCTCGCGGCCCCCTGCTGGGCTGCGAAACTCTTTCCTCTTCCATGGGCTCCTGGGACGCCCAGCGGAAAGACATCATACGCTAGACCTCGCGGCTCCCACCGGGGAAACGAACTGCGAAACTGCGGGCATTCTCCTTGGCCGAACTCCATGCGGGGCTGCGAATGGCGAAACTGTCGTCACTGTCGTGGGCTCCCTGGACCAGTCGCGGCTCCCCCTCTGCGGTGCGAATTGCGAACCATTCGCCACGTTCGTGGGCTCTTGGGAAGCCCAACGGAGCGACGTCATACGCGCGCCAAGACTAGATCTAGCGGCTCCCTCTAGAGATGCGAACTGCAAAACTGTCATCGCTTTCGTGGGCCCCTGCCCTGGGAAGCCCAGCGGGACCACGTCATACGCGCGCCCAGACTAAATGCCGCGGCTCCCTGTGGAGCTGCGAACTGCGGACATGTCGCCACTTTCGTTGGCTCTGGGGAGATTCAGCGAAGGCGCCCTCGTGCGGACCCAGAGTAGACCTTGCTCCCTGCCACATGCGTGACTGGCGCAACTTTCGTGAATTCCTGACGCGCAGGAGACGTGGACAGCGTCTGGCTGCTCCTACATATCATGTTATCAATAGCCACGACTTCAGAAAGACTGTTGCGACCCGGAAATATCGCCTGTGGCCGCAGGCGGACCTGGCGTCGCGCCTGAAGATTTGAGTGCCAGCGTGGAGCACTGCAGGGAAGATGCCAAGCAGCCAACCGTGTATTTTCACCTCGGAGCACTCCCGAAATGTCCAGGTATCCAAAAAATCTTCGTTATCATCGCACCCGCTTCCTCCTCGCCCCACATGACGTCCTCTGTGTCCCTTGTGTCCTCGCACTCGCTGTTTCTCCATATTATCCCCCCCTTGTTATACGAACCTCCTTTCTCTTGGTCGCCATCGTCATTATGTCTGTCAGACTTCATGCTTGAACTTTCGATACTGTTTCAAATCAATCCACGGGATAGGCCCCTTATATGGATGTCACAATGAATCCTGCACCCTGTCACATCATCTTTCGTCAAGAGTGGGCCCGTTGAAGTTGGCACCTGATGCAGACGGGTTGGGTACATCCCTGCGCAATATCATTCAGGAAAACGGTGGTCTGTGGATCCAGTCATGTATCCAGGCACCGATGTGGTTGGCGCCCTTTCTTCAAGCTGGCATGCACGGAATGCCCCCTTCCCTTCCCGCTGAAACAAAAACCTGGGCCCAAGTCCCTTCCAAAAACGTGCGTTGCCAAATATAGTTTGACCTCGCATCGTCCTCTGCCATCAGTGCCACAAGACATCCCTCGCTGATCCTTCACAACTCCGCTGGCTTCACTGCCCAACGCGCCAGGCTGCGGCGGTCGCTGCCGCCACTGCAGCGGGGCCGGTCGCTGCCAGCTGGCCGACATGGGCTGGGGCGGCGGCTGAGATCCGGGGGGGGCCAGGCGCCATGGGACACGGGAGAGCGCGGGCGAAGGCGGTCGCCATGGCAGTGGGCCGCCGCCCAGAACGCGGGGGCCCGGCGGGCGGGGCGTGTTAAGAGCGTCTAGAGGGGCGCGGTCGTCGCTGAGCCAGGACGCCCTGTCCAAGATGGTGCGACCAGAAAACGAACGAAGAAAGGAACAGGAGTCCGAACTGAAGAGGGAGGAGGGCGAGGGGGAGGGGGAGGGGGGAAGGAGGAGAGGAGGGGGCCCTGCCTGGAATTATTTAGGAGATGTTCAAATCTCTACTATCGACTTGTTACTCAGACCGTCCTCCCATTCAGAACCCAAGCTGGGTCAGGCATGATGCGCGAAACTGCAAATCAAAACACTGGCCCAACCCGAGTCCGGCTCCGGGGAGACTCGAAACGCGTATATCCTCCCAGCTCCACCCTGAAAAGCCCTGCAACGCGTGAAAACGGCCAAAATCTAGCCCAACATTCTCCGAGACGCATCCCAAACATTCCCAAGAAAGGGAGAGACTCCACCAGAAATCACAGGCCGCAACACGGCCCTGGGCTACACGATCTCTTCAAATTGCAAAGACCAGGCTTTGGCATTGGGACCTCCATTGGGACCTCCGCTTTGATGGCGCGCCGACGACCCCAGGGCGGCCGAATGACTAGCAGACAACATTAGCCACACCCGAGTCCTCCATGGAGTCCGAAGCGCGTACTTATCACATCACGAAAAACTAGCCCGACACCTGCCGACCAGCACCCAAAGAGTCCCGAAACGAGCGAAATGGGTCCTGGCATCCTCCATGTCACGCCCCTGGAAGAACACAAATCGAGCTGGGAAGCTGTCCAAGAAGATGGGCCCCTGCTAGAATGGCGTGGCGGAGGGGCCATGCAAGGCATGTGCAAAGTGATTGAGAACTTGAGAAATTGAGAATCGTTTTGCCTCCCCCTGTCCCTCCCAAGAACTTTTCTCGCTCCGTCCTCGCGGTCACCCTCTCTCCTCACCGCCGGCTCCCTCCCCTTCAGTCCCCTTCGTTTCGCCTTTTCTGTTGTTCTTCGGTTTTCCCGGATTGCTGGGTGTTCCTCCCCTTTGCCTCCCTCCCGAACATTCCCTACCACATCCCCCCACCCTCCCCCGACCTCCCGTTCCTACTGCCACAAGTACCACCTCAAACACCAACACAACAACCAACATCACCATTTTTTTTACACATGCACCACCACCACCAACACCGCCACCACAGCTACTACTACGAATGCTCGTAGTGCTACTGCTACTGCTACTGCTACTGCAACTGCCATTGCCACTGCTACTGCTGCTGCTCATGCCGATACTGAGATTCCTCCAGTTCCTCCTGCTCATCCTCCTCCACCCCCTTTTTCTGCCTGCTCCTCCTCCTCCTCCTCCTCCTCCTTCTCCTCCTCCTCTTCCTCATCTCCTCCTCCTCCTCCTCCTCCTCCTCCTCCTCCTCCTCATCTCCTCCT